CCCCCCCCGCCCTCTCTCTCATGCTCACAATCAAAGATGACTGCATCTTGTGGACTCTCGATGTTTACAGCAGTCCATCTCTGTATCTTGTTTGCCAGCAGAAAAAGGGCACTAGTTTTTGGATCTCTCCCCTTACAATAATTACTATACTAGCAAGGACTGTGAGCATTTCACTGATCTGAACACTGCTTCTGGAAGCCAAGCATTCAGATTACTGGTTTCCAAACACATGTCTTTGCAACTATGAACATAGGCGGGACTTTGCTCCTCTAGTGCAAAGTTAAAATGTGATTAAAAGAACAAAGGGACAGGCTTGCCTAATGCTAATGAGGATGCTAATGGCCTGATGAGAAAACGGTGCAAATAGGTGTAACACAGAACACCGACTCACCTGAGGGAGTCTTTTACTTCTGACAGATGCCAGTTCAGAACTCCAGTGCTCTGCCCCTCAACAACTTTAAATAACATACAGCCTCTAAATGAGAGCTCACGCAGAGGGGGGTTGTCAACCTGCTAAGCAGAGGTCATATGCATAAAAGATCAGACTTGGTGAAAGTGTTTGCATTGGCATAATCAGATTATGGCCAGAAGTGAGGTGATAATGGATATTATGTAGTGGGGTGATGCAGGTGACTGAGTGATTAAAATGAAATATGTAGGTGTTACTGTTAGTGTAAATGTAGAGACAAAGCTGCTACTGAAGCATAATGAAAACACCCTGAGGTCAGCAGCTTTTAGGTGCGTCTCGGAGCAAAGTGTGTCCTAAGACCTGATTAATAACGGCATTGCCTCAACTAAATGTAAATGGATCATATGATATCATAAATAATATACAGGCTTTGTTCAAAAACTTAGTGAGCTGCCTGCTACGTAGGCAGCATTTTAGAGGCTACATAGGCTTTATTATTATAAATTAACATGATGGTCCACTCATAAATAGATTAATGGAAGAAATCATAACACTAAGTATGGCAGCTATACTCCTGCCTTGCATATTCATATAAGATTGGAAGGCTTAATTTTTGTTAGCATGTTTATAGGCAAAGTGTTGTCACAGTGAGATTCACCTCACAACTTTAAATTTCTCTAGTTATTGTAGCAATCACATTGCTTGTTAAGCCGAATCATAGAGGCCCTGACATCTAAAATCGTAATTAATGATTGAATCTAGATAATTACCTGATGCACAGAGCTTCTTTCAAGTAAATAACGCCCTCTTCCAGACAGAATAATAACACTGACAGTTGTGTTTATAGGAGGTGCCATTTAACACCAGGTCTATGTTTTTAATGTGTTTGGAAATTGCTTGAAAGTGGCAAAATTGAGAATGGTGTTGAATGCCTCAGGCGTCAGAGCTAAAGGAAATCTAGAATTGTTAAGGCACAATATACAATCACTTCTGCAGTGCTCACTCTGGTTTCCTTTTTAAGTAATAAACATTGTGGTTCCATACTTCTGCTTTTATAATTCATGTGTGCAGTGATCGATTTTCCATGCCATGCTTTGACAAATACATCAGTTGACTCCGTGTCACAGTAAAGTACAATATTAGAGGAATCTGTTAGGTGCCGTAGTCGGTTCTCACAGGCAAAAACAAAGAATGAACCGTGCTTTTGCTGCTGGCTTTCTGTGCAGACACTGAGTTATACAGGCTCTAATATTTTAATGAGTATGTTGAATAAGAACGCCTTCTCCTATGCCGTGTCTCAGCACGAGGATCATGAATAAGTCAGGATTCTGTCTATGCTTTCTCAGGCATTTAGCAACCCAAGCCGTTTATGAAATCTTTTGTAAATCCGCAAAACAGAAACAATTGATATATCCTTCAGGATGGGCAGTGATCGATTTTCCATGCCATGCTTTGACAAATACATCAGTTGACTCCGTGTCACAGTAAAGTACAATATTAGAGGAATCTGTTAGGTGCCGTAGTCGGTTCTCACAGGCAAAAACAAAGAATGAACCGTGCTTTTGCTGCTGGCTTTCTGTGCAGACACTGAGTTATACAGGCTCTAATATTTTAATGAGTATGTTGAATAAGAACGCCTTCTCCTATGCCGTGTCTCAGCGCGAGGATCATGAATAAGTCAGGATTCTGTCTATGCTGACATTTAGCAACCCAAGCCGTTTATGAAATCTTTTGTAAATCCGCAAAACAGAAACAGTTGATATATCCTTCAGGATGGGTAGTATGTTTTTACCGGTCGATGCTATGGATTGAGAAACAAGAAAACATATTCCCATTTTTCAGAGAGGATGCTTCAGAAGGTGATATTAATTGACAAGTGTGAGATGGAAAGCTTGTACCTGCCATGGAGTAGCAAAGTGAAATTTCGCTTTCTTCTTGCAGCGCCAAGGACACTCACCACAAAAGCCCTGAAATAAACAGCATGGTAATGAAAAACGACAACAAAAGTGTCAGACGTTTGTTTGGAAGACTACTGACTGTGTTTACGGACTCTGCTACTCTCTCGTTGGAGGGGTTCCCAGGAATCGATGCTTAATTCTAATCAAAAACTCTGAGGTTCCTTTTGATCTTCTGTTATCGGTGTACTTTAAAAAAAAAACATAAATATTTAATTATATCTGAAGCACCTTGAATTAAATTCGATCTGAAACCCAGAAACGTATAAAGACAAGTCTGGAGCTGCAATGTGATCCTTCTGTTGAGCAGAATCAGATTCGTAATTAGCAAGAGGTCTCTCTCTTCGTGTTTTTTGTGGAACTCTCAATAAGAGATTTCTATCGGTCCAAATACCCTGTGCTTCCTTTGAAGATATCTTTGATATACACCATTGCTATACGTCGAGCTTTTGTTCTTTCAAAAATGAAGAACGAAATAGATTTTGTCTCGAAAAAAGATCTTGCCTTACCTTCGGGTGTTAAGTCTTTTGATATTGTGTACGTCATCTTTGGAATAGACGTTTTTTCCCCCTTCATATAATTCCCCTGATATTGATGCTGTGTCATTCAGTCAAGATCTCAGTAGACTGAAAAAAAGTAATGTTTTGTAACCTCTTAACAGTCTAATTGTCTGAGTTTATATATAGATTAGTATCCACTTGGACCCAATGAAAGGCCTGATGAAGAGGGTATGACTGTTCCTCTCGAGTGTCTCTCGAGGGTCTTTTCTCCACTCTGACCCTTTGTCTTTCTGTCGTTTTCAAGAAGCGCTTCTAATCGAGTTTAATTTGATCCCATTCTCTGCATGAATGGTTGATCTGTTCATTTGCGCAGAAATCTGCACAATGCAAACAATAGACAAAAATGAGGTTATTTACATTTCATTCTAGTTTAAATCCCAATCAGTGGAGAACAGAATTGAAATTGATATGGTTATTGCATAAAATACTGATGAATTGCATTGAATGCACATTCATTTGCCAATATATGTTGGAAATCCACTTTCTGTGAAATTTCTGGTATCGTAACCCCAAATCTCAGACTTTTTCTTTTGATCCTTCCAGGGAGCAGCGGCCGATGTCCCTCTGTCTGTCTCGTGATGACGAATCTTTGCCCGGGCTGGAAGCGCTGCCGTTCAGGCTGATGCAGCAGGACTGCACAGCGGTAAAGACTCTTCTGCTGCGGCTACGCAGGACCCTGCAGGAGGTAATGTTCCACCCTGACAGTTGATTCATGAAGCTGCTATGGCCTTCATCACGGGTGCATTAGAACAGGTAGAAGAGTTCTCCGTGCCCTGCCAGTTTCATGCCTCATCATTCAGGGCGAACACCAGGAGAATCTCGCACTCAGAAGAGACACATTCAGTCAGTTTGTAGACCTTGGTTAGAGTAGAAACTATACTTAATGTGACACAAATGAAAACAAGGCTGTGAGAGGAAGAAAAGCATGTCAGAGTGTTGATTTGTTCAGCCAGTAAAATGTTACAGCAAGACAACTACAGTACAGTTACATTATTTGTTAGCAGACTAAAGTATCCGATACTTTTTGGATGCACTTTATATTTTTGTATATATTATACGTTTTTCATAGAGATTTGTTTATGCCATATTTGTTACAGACCTATATTCTATTTATATTTGATTGATATTTTATAATTAATTGTGCATTTTCCTTTTTTTAATTTAGATTACATATGCGGTCATTTTTAAAATTTTTTATTTTTTTTATTATAAAAAACACTAATAATAGGACACTCTTATTTTTTAGCAAATCTCGAAATGAATATTAATTTTACATGTTGTGATGCCTGAATTCAATATTAGGATTTCAATATTTAATTTTAACTTATTGAAACTAAATTGTTTAGAACTTTAATATGGCATTCCTACTTTTTCAGAACGTTAATGGAGTGTCTGTTGTGGTAGTAATGTGGGATTTTATTTGAATGCTCTTTGAAGTCACTACAGTAATAATAATATTAATAAAATCTTGGTTTTATCCCTTACAGCTAATAATGCTAACCCAACTTGATTTATTGACCAGAACACACTTATTTCCATTCCACATTTCTCCAAGTAGTAGCTGCATGAACTCTGTTTTACATTCCTTCACAATAACAATCACCTTCCTCAGTGAAGGTCCAGAGAACAGCGCATAACAGAGGAACATGAATATTGAAGAGGAGGTTCTTTGGCCTCTTTACTGACTCTTCTCATTAACATGTAAATTAGCCATCTTCCTTCAGCATTTGTAAACTACAGTGTAACAAGTATCACAATGAGTTGTGCAGATCTTCGGTGGGGTTTATTTACTTGACCAGTGATCTTATGCACAGCCTGTTCTTTATTTCTTCATGTGTCTTTTGTGCTTTCGGTCTTTTGATACCTCGTTCCAGACTAATTTAGGGCAGTGCAGTGAGAATGTCGGTTCAAAATGTTCAGAGAGGTTTTGATTTAGCCAAATGTTAAGTAGTAAATATATGAAAGGAGCATAAGATTGTCTGCTCACACTTAGTTACTATAATAGGAAAGCTATAGACTGGTTTCAGAGCCTGAATCAAGAGCGTCTAACCTCTCAGACATAGTTTTTTTTTGTTTGAATGTTACCTAGGCTTGAATTGAATAGCTCTTATACCTTTGACCATTATGTACTGTAGTGCCTGTTGGCATTCAGAACCTGGCACAGCATCCTTCATGGATTAAACTGGCTTTTTGTTGATTTAAAAAAAATATATATTTTTTTTGTCCTGCCTGTTTAATTTACATAACTATTGCATTTCCCACCAGCTAAAACCGTTTAGATGTAGCCATGTGCATATATAACCATTCTGATAATTACTTCGTATTCTGAGCAGAGATTTTAGTTTTAATATTGAACAGGGTACATTCTTAAATTACTGTTTTGCATTTTTCAGCAAATAATTTTGACTCTATTCTGTTTTGTCGTTTAGCAGTTTTTGTTTGAATGCACTGGGAAGAATCTGCATTAGTGAAACATTTCTCTTGCTTTTGCTTTCATACCGTCTTTGATTACCTCAATATGTTTGTACTTTTCATTACAGTTTTCTTGTCCTGTCCTTGTACTTAAAATGCAGTCGTAGAAAACACATTAATCAAAGCAGCACATGCTGGATCAGTCTTGAATCCTTTAATAATTATGGAGTCTGAAATGCTGCTTAAAATTCATTCACGTTTGCTGTGAAACATTTACCAAAATGACATTGTAATGGTTGTGATATTGTACCTTGTTTGAAATTTATAGACCCGTTGTAACTACTTGATTATAGTAATTTAATTTTCCCTGTATTTTTTTCCCCCCTTGCCTTGCTGCCGGTGGAATAACTGAATGTCTTGGGCCCCTCCACATACACCCACAAATAGTGGATAGCTTTTTAAAAAAAGAAAGCATTGCCTCAGAGATCCTCAGAGATTTATTTTATTTTATTTTATTTTATTGCTTTAAGTTATATTTTTGTTTTATTTTTAATGCTGCTTTAAAAAATAAAGTTTTGATATGCAGATGCACGTCACAGAGAACTGGTACAGGCCTGGTTGAAATGCGTTAGTAGTGTATTGTCGCCATGTCCAAGAGACACCGTTTCACAGATCTAATATACTCATACACATGCATCTGTTTATGTTTGCAGACATAACCGACTGTGTGTGAACTTTGTGTTTTTGACACAACCGACATGAAAGAGTCAGCTTTCTGTGAGCGCGCTTTTTGTGCGTGCAGTCAGAAAATCATATATCAAAAGTTCAAACTGACGAAACGTTTTAAATTCATACAAAGAATACACTTTTCGTGCTGACGAAGAACTGCAACGTCATGTGAGCACGAGCGTGAAAGAGATGCTAATCAAAACCAAACCAAAGTTTTGTTTATTGTTGCTGTAGTAACTGAGGCACAAGCTGTGAAAAGCACAGCCCTTTTCTGAAAGGGTCATTTGCATTTAAAGAGACAACAACATATTTTTGCTTCTGTTGTGTATTTTAAGCTGCAGCTTCAGACACATTCTGGGCACACCTGAAACTTACATCTTGTAAATGGGGCATAATATGACCCATTTAAGTTAATTTTGTTTTCTTTCTTTGGTTTCGTTTTGTTTTTTATTTTGTCAAAAATTTGAAGAAAGTAAAATTTTTATCGTCCTCTTTAGCAGTGCAGCATTTTTATTTTTATTTTTACAAAAGTGTCTGACATTTATATTATCACTCAATATATTGTCTGTTCGCTGCTCTACTCAGACTAAAGTGTTCTGCGTCTCTGACAGTGTCACTGCGTCTGCAGCACTCTTCCTCACATTAATATGGGGGAGAGGCAGCAGTAGCGTGATGAAGGAGAGAAGCGTTTGAGGCTACAGCCCAGAGAGGACAGGGCTGTCTGCTCCCCTGTTTGGATGGTATAATTACATAATATGTACGACATGAGCTAATTTCCCAGTGTGTTTCATTACTGAGTTTTAGAGTAATAACAGTGTTGCTTAATTTGTGCCTTTCTTTTGAAGCATTTATTGTGCTTGATTAAAATTAATTTTTACATGTTTTTAAGTTGGTGAAACAAATTATATTTTGAAGGCTTTTGGTGAAGATGTTCTTGTAGTCTTCTTCGGCTGTGTGTGGGTCAGATACTTAAAAACAAACTTTATAATACTGCCAAGCATAGTAACCTCAGAGGCAACTATTTCAGAGTGAGATGAGCAGGTCTTTTTTCAACTGTTATTTCTTTTCATGTGCTCATTAAATATTAAGGTGTCTGATCTTTGCCTTTCAGAGCACTGAGATCAGTCCTGCCAGCAGCCTTCACTCTCTACCCATAAGCCCCTGCAGTGAGAAATCACTCCCCTTTAAGGTAATTGTTCACATTCAGTGTTGTCAAAATGTGTTTCTTTTCTATTAATATCGTGGATGAACACTTTCTTTGCTGCTAAGGTATCATTGTCGGGTCACACTTTGATTTAAAAAGCTCGCTTTCATTTTTTTTTCTCCCTCCCTGAAGATTTCAAAGCCTGTAGATCAAACATAACGACGGCGCTAAACGACTGCATTGAGACAGAGGTCTCTCCATTTTTATGTAGTTAATTTTCTAACTCCATTGTGCCTCTCCTAAACTCACTTTGCTCTTTTCATTCAGGCTTCTCTCTCTGATAGAGTTTGAGTTACATTTTTCTCCACCATCAATAACATTTTCCCACTATCTTGATGAGATTATTTGGTTGTGTGCCCTAATCTTGCTTGGACTGTCATCGGGAAAGGTTTATGATTTTGTATGAGGAGCTTTTGCTTGGTAGAAGAGGATTTCGTTTTTCATCAGGACTTTTTTTTTTTCGGCTCAAAAATACTGCGAAGTGGAAACGAGGTCTGCATCTTTCTCTGTCCTCCTTACTGACCTACATGGAGTGCTAACAGAAGCGAAGGTTGCGGCAGCGAATCACGTGAGATCCCGGCTCATCCGTAGCCTAGCGCCACGCAGCGGGAGATGCTTAGAATAGGACCCCATGCATTCTGACATTGTGTTCAACTGACAGGAGAGGGGTGGGACTCGTCCTGATTCATTCCGTAAAAAAAAAAGGAAAATATTCCCCATTTTAAAAATAAAGCCCTAGAACCCACCTGAGACGGAACCGTGTCACTTCACGTCCTACTTTTAACAGAAAACTTCTCTCACCAAACATTTGTTATCCCCACCTTCTTAATAATTAGAGCCTGTGGCGAGAGCGTGGCGTCGGTTAGGGGAATAATGGAGCCTCTTGCTCTGCACCCTGGGAAATGAGCTTGGACTGGGGTTCCAAAGTCATTCGTCCTGGTGTCCCTGTCAACTGCGCATTAATAACTCCTTGTTAAGCGGGTGTAGTTGCGCCCCCACTCTGAGGGTGTCCTGTTTGAAGTTTATAACATCACAAACCTCCTTATACAGGAATAACTGAGGACATCTATCACATTTACTCCCTTTTATGCCTACCTTCAAAGTACATCAGTGAAATACTCTGCACTTCTCTAATCTTGTACCATTCTTGGTAATGAAACTGCCAGGTAGGGCTGAGCGATAATGGCTAAAAAATTATCCCTTGTATTTTTTTTCTCCTTTTATTCAGCCTTTTGATGACATAAATATATAATGACATACACTACCATTCAAAAGTTTGGGGTCAGTAAGGTTTTTTTTAACATTTTTGGAAGAAATCTCACTAAGGCTCCATTTAGTTGAACTTATACAGTACAAATGGTAATATTGTGAAAAATTATTACCATTTAAAATAAGTCTTATCTATTTTAATAGATTTTAAAATATAATTTATTGCTGTGATGGCAAAGCTGAATTTTCATGCAGCCATTACTCAAGTCTTCAGTGTCATGATCTTTCAGAAATCATTCAAATATGCTGATGAAATCATCATATTTCAATGATTTCAATGCTCAACAATCATTTCCTATTATTATTAATGTTGAAATCACTTCTTCTTAATATTTTTTCATACTTTTTAAATACCAATTTAATGACTCCTTGCTGAATAAAAGTATTTATTTCCTTCTTACTAACCACAAATCTTTAAACGTTAGTGTGTGTATATTACCTTGAAATATCTTGATTTATTTTTTCTATCTGGTGAAATTATATTTTTAACCACACAGCCATGGTAGCCAATGAGATTCAGAGTAAGGTAAAATACAAAATAATAATAATAATAATAATTGAACATAATTTAGACATTTTCCTCCTCACATTCTTCAGTAAATTAAATTGAGAAAAAATTATATTTAATCATTTATTTATTTAGAACCAATAATAAAAAAAAAGGTTCCAGCATCCCCTGGAAAATGGATTGTCAGATGGACAACAATATTGTATATACTGTAGAAATAAACGCCAATATTTACCTACATATACTATATATTTTTTCTAAAGCATTTCATTTGAATTGAACTGAATTGATTCACAGAAATGAGTTAAATGTAGAGTAGGAGCTCTAACATAGTTCTGCCATGCACTGAAGTTTAAGTTAGACACTATTGAAACATCTTTGTCTCAGGAAAGGATTGCAGAACTAACATAATGATGTGGTCTTTAGCAGAGCGAATATTCGATATATATCGGCCAGACCCACCACTAGGATATTTGCAGCATTAAAGGAGACTGATAAACAGAATGCTCACTGCATTCTTGGTGACAAAGCATTATTTCTTTGACTGCATCGATTGCTGCAATGTTAAGTGTTGCCTTTTATGATCAGGGCTCTGTGATAGTAGGACATTCTCATTTATTAGGTCCTTCGTCCTCTTCTTGCCTCAAGTATTTAATCTAGGACAGACAGATGGAGGAGCCACTCAAATGCAGCTTTACAGCACGGGGTAGAGACCCAACTCTCTGTCCTGTGTGTTGTGTATCCGTGTGTGCGTATGCAACTGTGACCAAACGCCTCTCTATGGCACTGCACAGATAAAGTGCCTCTTGTTAAACCTCTATAATTAAGATATAATTAAATATTCCCCACAGGCAGGGATTTGGAGGAGGTTACATTCTGCCTGTTTGCTGCATACATTGCTCAGGACATGACCTTTTTTTAATTATGAATAATTAATTTTTAAATACTTTATTATTTTATGCACGCTACAACGTTTGGTGTCAGTAAGTTGTATTTAAATAATATTAATTTAATAATGTATTTTAATATAAAAAAATAATAGAAAACAGGTATTTAAATATTTCACAATATTTACTGTATTTTTGATAAACCTAAACTGGGTGAGCATAAGAGCTGACTTTCAAAAGCATTAAAAAATCTTATCGACCCTAAACTTTTGATTGGAAGTATATATTCATACAGTACAGTTCAAATGTTTGGCATCATAAAGACATGTTTGTGTTGCTGAAAGAAACTAATGCTTCTGTTCAGCCAATGCAGCATTTAATCTTAGTAAATACAGTCTAAAGTACATTTTGGTATTTGAGACACTGTTGCAAATGTTTGTGCTGTTTAATGAAGTGTGGAAATTGCACAGTATCTTTCCTGCAAGTGTACACTATCTCAAAAGTATACTCTTGCAAGTCAAATGTTGGTTTTAAAATGCCTAAACAAAAATACATATCGCTAGAAATTTAGATGAACACCGTTTCATGCACTCCTTTCTCAACAGAAGAAAACAGACTGTATCTAACCAGAACAAAGATAGAAGTGAATGGCCCTTCTTCACAACAAGAAGAGGACAAGTACATCAGAGTCTCTAGTTTGGAAAACAAACCCCTCCCTGGTGCTCAGCTGGATGCTTCATTGAACACCAGCTTCAATTGTAACAGTGAATACAAGACTCTTAGATGCTACTCGCCTTTAGGCAGAGTTTCAAAGAAAAAAAAATCTGAAACTGGCAAATAAGAAGAAAAAAGTAGATTGGGCAACAGATATAAAGATATAATGGTAAACAGTTAGAAAGGTTCTGCTGGAAGAAAGAATGGTATGAAACCTCACCTGAATCTCTGACTGTTAAAAGACTGCCTTTGCTGCAAGTGGAAGATCCTTTGAAGACCAGAAGCTAGATTCACGAAACATTCCTGAACTGATAGTTCACCCAAAAATGAAAACTGAATGAAAGGACAGAAGGGCTGCGGAGTACAGGACATTTTTTTTTTGAGGAATGTTGGTAACCAAGCAGTTGACAGTAGCCATTGACTTACATAGAATGAAAAAAAAACAGAAACTGTGTAAGTCAATGGCTACCATCAGCTGTTTAGCTTCTTCAAAATATCTTTTGTGCTCAGCAGAAGAAAAAAACTTATACAGGTTTGGAACAACTTGAGGGTGAGCAAATGATGACAGAATTGTCATTTTTGGGTGAACTATCCATTCAAGAATAAATTTAATTTCAATTTCATTAACTATTATTATAACTTATAACTTGGGAATAAAGTTAAGGAAATTTGTATCCCAAAACATTTAGTAAGAATGTTCTTAACTTTTTTTCTTAAAGTCCCCCTGTAGTGAAAATCAAGTTTTTTTATGTTGTTTATTTGTCTATATGGTGTTTTTAATATGCCTTTAGACAAACCATGTGCCAATCTATTAATCAACACCATTGCTGAGAATTTTCTCCTTAAAACTGTAGTTTCCCAAAGGCTGACCCAGAAATACGGTTTGAAACAGCCCTCGGTTTGCTACGTCACAAACCAATAACCAATCACGTCAAGGGATAGATTCCTATCACTAGCATGCAAAATATACCAATACCAGCACAAAACCAAAAATAAATTAAAGCAAAAAACCCATGAAGCTGTGGTTTAATGTGAATTTAGAACCGCTAACTTGCATTATAACCCGTGGCAACAGTGTAAAAGAAGCCCGGAGTCAGACCCACCTCTCCCGCATCGGCATCTGCATTATAGTAAATGAGGCAAGGGTGTAGAGTTACATTCAAGCTATTTTAAGGAATGAGAAAATTATTTTCACAATAAAAAACATTTAAATATGTAATTTTGATGATCAATGATAAGTTTTAAGGGATAAAATATTTGACCACAGGGGGACTTTAAGATTGTGCTGAAGGCAAAACTTGAGAAGAATTTTGATTTGGAAATGTTTGACACATTAAAAAAGTGCTGAACTCCTGTCAAGTCAGTTGCAATGAAAAGTATGTGTTTATTATAGTTATTACGATCATCTGCAGGCAGCGCAAAAAGACAGCCTTTGAGTCATTTTCATTGAATTCATTAGAGAATCTTCAGCAAGTACAGCCATGTTTTTTAAGAAAATGTGTATGGGCAATTCTTGAAAAATTCTTTAGGAATTTCTTAACTTCTTTTTAATGAAGATATTCATGAAATTGAAAATCAATTTAATGCATCCTTAACAAATAAAACAGAAAACAACAACAAAAAAAGATTTTCATAGTGATTTGAAACCTTTGAATGGTAGCAAACTTGGTGAGTGTGTTTTTCTCCTACAGTAATGATTGTTTTTAGTTCAAAAGTGACTCATTGTAATAATGGCCATTTTAATGGTATTGTAATCATATTAATGATAATTAATGGCCATTATTATACAGCTAAATGAAATCCAGTATTTGAGTTCAAAGGAACACATTTCAGTTTGGTAGCGATGAAGAGCTACTTGAGCCTTGCTGATGGGGTTGTAGCAGTTCATAAAAAAAGTGTAGGTACTGTATGATTCTAGTTTAGTCGCTGTGTATTTCATCATCATCTCCAGGCAGAAATTAGCTTCCTTTAGAGAGAAGCATCAAAGATTGACAACAGCTCCCTTGAGATGTTTATGTAATGTCAACAAAAGGAGCACATTCAAGCCAAAGCCAGAGAGCTCTGAACAACGATGTCTCCAAGTACATGACATTGAAGCTCATAATCCCCTTCCCTGATCTCTCATGAAGGGCTCCCGACTCATGCATATTGTGTCCGGCTACCTCATGCCAGCGCTGTCTAATCTCCACCGGGCGCTTCTTTTAGAGGAGTGATGTCGTTTTTGGGGGCGGCGGTGGTTCTTTTCGGTCGTTCCTGGAGGCCATATTCTGCTCCTGGGCCTTTCAGTCCTCCTCTGCTGCCCTTGAAGCTTCAGTCCCGCCCTCCCCTCCCCCAGCCTCACATAATGGATGCTGACAGAACAAGGTCGTGGGAAAGTGCCTGCTAGTTCAGGTGAAGTTTATGGAGGAGAGTGAAACCACGGCACAGAAAGCACACCTCCACCTCTCAACCACGGTAGTTTTGCGCCCACACACGAGGCTGCAGATTCAAACTGGGGGCGATGGCTTGAATAACGCAGACTGACTTTTTTTTTTTTTCAAAGCGTGTTTGTGTGTGCTTTGTGTGCAGGATCCTGGGAGAGAAGAGAACCAGTTCCTGCAGCAGCAGCTGAAGGAGAAAGACGAGCTCATTGTACGACTTCAGGCTGAGTTGGTGAGAAAACTCGACGAGTTCAATGTAGCATTTCATAACCGCAAGTTTCATAACCACCTTCAGAAAGCCTTACGATCGCAAAAACAGGTTCCTTTGCTCCATTGTCATTGAGATACCCTAATTTCATGCATTTATTTGACAGTTCAAGTTAACATCCTGTTGGTTTCATGTCCTTTCCCTCTCCTAAGGCTCGCGTTAGGAAGTTATGGAGATGCCGCTCTGCAGTTTCCTTTGAACTGGGACGATATTTGATAGACTCACTTTATGTGCAGTAAACAGCTCTCGTCGTGTGCTTTACATGCACTGTGAGACACATAATGTTCCCAGTCCCGGCAGCTAGGGCAGAGACGAGTGAAGGAGAAATATGACAGGTCCATCTCAGATTTATAGAGTTGTGGTCTTGAAAAGAGGGATGGGATGAGATGGCGTGATAGGCACGGAAGAGGGGGTAGGACAAATAAAAACAATAGAGGGCAGTAAAGAGGCTGTAAAAGCAAAAAGACAAACAAAGCACATTATGTTTCATACAATTCATGACTGATTTTTATGTCTAGCATTTAGAGTCTTATGATTGGACAAAAGGAATGATTGGTTAAGATTCACCCAAAAATGAAAAGTGTGTAATTTTACTTACCTGTAAGAGATTTTAAATGTCTCCCTGGTTGCTTTTTTCAATTATTTACACTGAATGGTCACTGATTCTTTTTAAAAGGTGGCAAAAGCATCATAAATGTTTCATAATACTCATAAGAGTCTTATAACGTTCATAAGAGTCATATGCTATATTCCATGCTCCAAAGGCCTCACTTTTGATGACTCCCATTTGTAGTCCATGCATCTCAAAAAAGTAAAACTTGGTAAATCGCCAACTCACATTGAAAATGAATGACTCCTGGAAGCTTTGGTGCTGCAAATCTTTAACATATGTGACCCTGGACCACAAAACCAGTCATAAGTCGCACAGATATATTTGTAGCAATAGCCAACAACACATTGTATGGGTCAAAATGATCGATTTTTCTTTTATGCCAAAAATCATTTAGATATTAAGTAAAGATCATGTTCCATGAAGATATTTTGTAAATTTCCTACCATAAATATATCAAAACTTAATTTTTGATTTGTAATATGCATTGCTAAGAACTTCATTTGGACAACTTTAAAGGAAATTTTTTCAATATATTTATATTTTTTTGCACCCTCTGATTCCAGATTTTCAATTAATTGTATCTCAGCCAAATATCCTAACAAACCATACATCAGTGGAAAGCTTATTTATTCAGCTTTTCAGATGTTGTATAAATCTCAATTTAAAAAATTTTGTCCTTATGACTGGTTTTGTGGTCCAGGGTCACATATAGTGTCTTCTGATTGGACAAAAAGAAAGAGTGGCTAAGATTCCCCCCAAAATGTAAACTGTTATTTACTAATCCATATTAAATTATCAGTGTCGTCTTTTTCATGTATTTACACTAAATTGTGACTGATGCTTTCAAACTTCAAAAAGGTGGCAAAAGCATCTTAAAAATATCATAACAGAATTTTGTACAACATATGCTGTATTCTGTGTCCCAAAGCCCTGCCCGCAGTTTTAATGACTCCCATTTGTAGTCACCGCATTGCAAAAAAGTCGAGCTCTGCAAACTCTCATTGAAAACTAATGACTTCAGGATGATTTGGTGCTGCAAATTTTTAACATTTAGTGTCTTCTGATTGGACAAGAGGAATTAGTGGATAAGATTCACCCAAAAATGCACTTTACAGTATGAGATTTTGAATGTCGTCCTGCTTGCTCTTTTTCGTGTATTTACATGCTTTCTCAACATTTTTGAAAGCACCACTCACCATTCAAAGTATCATAACAGCATATTCCATGTCCCAAAGTCTTACCTAAAACCTGTCAATGCTTACGATGACTCCCATTTGTAGTCAACATTCAAGCTCTAGAAATCGCAAACTCTCAATGAAAACTAATGACTTCAGGATGCTTTGGTGCAGCATGAGAATGTGTGAATAAATGAGCTTTTATTCTTCAGCAGCAGCACTGCATTACTAGTTTAAACGTTCTCCATACTTGCTGATCGCTGTCTAGGTATTCAATGAAAAGATTGCAAGTTTGACTTTCGCTCAGTGTGTAGAGGTTTGAATTGATGTTGTCCTTATCTGTCTTCTCTTCGAGAACTGAATTCAGAAATGTGCTCCCAATAGTGTTAAGCACGTCTCTGAAGGTCACAGTCTTTTTCTCCGAGAAAACAGTCTGTTGGTAAATACCACAGTGCTCACTGCAGTTTCTCTGTTCCATAAGATCCCAATGACTCAAACTCTGTGTGATGTGGGTTTCGACCTGAGAACTGCAGTGGTTGTTTTATCTCCAGTAAAGCATGCATACTGAACACATGTAAACACGAATGCATAATGTGGCATCCTGCTGACGACATTGGAATCAACAGAAGAGTCGGTCATTGACATCATCGCTTTGGAGATTCTTTCACCCAGAGACCTCCGCTCTATTTTTAGTGGGAAAAGAACCTGCGGCCACAATGGCTTAATAAATCATGGCAAAAGCTCATAAAATAATACTCACTGGTGAAACTGGCAGCCTGCTGGCTAGGCTCGTCTTTGTCAATTTTTACTGTCTTTATTGAATGTCATTAATGAAGTATGGCTGCCCTAAATTTTGCTGCACCATATTTCTTGTTTTATTAGTCTACCGTTCTGCGGCTTTCGAGAGGGGTATTAAGGCTGCTTGATATTCCAAGTCAAGACTCAACATTTTTTCTGATCATATAGCCGATATGAATGTACAATCAGAGGGTCATTATCAAGACCCTATATATGTGTGTGTGTATTTCATCCACATGTACAGTTTTATGGAGGACTAGGAGCACCATTTAAAAATAAAATCAATAAATGTTTGCTTTTCAAATTGACTGATAAACGCATCTTATTAGAATGTAATAATTATTTCTTATAAATATTTATTATTTTTAGTTAGGCCTTATTTAAGTCATGTTTAGAAATACATAATCAGTGTATTCTCTTGTTACAGTTTTAAATGTTACTTGTTTAAAATTTGTTTGAAAATTATTCCCTCATTTTTATTTTTAAGTGGCACTTGTAGTCCATACAGTTTAGCCAATATATGAATATACGTCATTATATGGCCATATGATGATTACATCAAACATCATTGTATATGACCGCAAGATGTTGAGATTGACAAGTCGGAATCAAATATTCCAGAAAACTGTTTTATGTCATAAAACTTGTGTAAATGATATGCCACCCTTTTCTGATACATATGTCTTTTTAACAGGAATCCACCCGCACTGCTTTGAAATCTCTTTGCCAAAAAGCTGACAAAAGCACTCAGACAGATTTCTTACTCTCAGAGGTGAGTAGCCATTAAAGCACCGTACGAAGGCTCCTGACGATGCTGCTAATGTTCTGAGGTCATTGAGCTGTGTCTGGTTTTTCTAATTGAATACAGGTCCCCACATCTGTCTTTTTTATTTCACTGACTTTTAATGGTAAAGGGCACTGAAAGTTGATTTTCAATTTGAGAAGGAATCTATATAGCAAAATTGTGGTTTCTGATTTCATCAAACACTTTTGCTAACCCTTTTGTCCGCTGCCCTTTCGATAGTTTGACTGCCCTCCTTTCCTCCCACCCGTTCAATAATTCCCATCCTCCTTTTTATTTGTTTTATTATGAATTTTGGTCGAAAGCTAGGTGCTTTCTCGTTCCCACAGGTGGCTTTTTAATGGCTCACACACAACAAATGATGATGTTATATTGCAGTGAGTCAGCAAACGGTGTTCAAGTGCTTCAGACTTTAAATGACTCATTAACAGAGATTAATGCAACAGATATTAAAGCATCAGAGACAAATCCAGCCTTTAAATCGTCTTCTCTCTTTCTTTTGCAACACTTACTCAAATGAAGACCAAATTATGTTTGATAGTTTGATTAAAAGCTATTTGCACATTTTTGAGAGATGTCCTTCTAGTTCTCAATCTGTTTGTGGATTTTCAGCATTTGTGATGAGCGTATTATCTCTCACTGATGGTTAAGAAGAATGATCGAGATTTTCTTTACATATTTCTGTCATATATCCCATGCCCTCGCAGTGCCCGCATCAGTGTGCCTTTAGTCCCTTTACACTGAAATAGCTTTCAGTTGGACTCCCGTTGAGACATGGTCCATTTTCCGTCTGGCATTTAACATCTCTGCAGAATTTGTGCTTTGTATTACTGCTAATATGCGTATGTGATGTGAATTCGGATGGCTTTTTCAAATTGCTTGACAATCCATTCCACTGCTATCGTGGCGCTAATGCGTCGCTGCTCCATCAGGCCACGGCGTTGATGAAAAGTGCTGTAAAAAAGCTGAAATATTAGAAAGAGTGCTCATTATGGAGCTGTGGCATTAGATAAGCAACATTTTCTCAGTAAGCCGGCGTCTTTTTTTGCTGCGGTGCCAAAAACAGCCAGCGTGGAAATGTTCGCGTGGGTGGATGTGGGAGAATCTTCGTCCTGTCTACCTCAGATGTGCCGGCAATGGATGAGCGTGGAGAGGAACTGCACATGCACGAGCACGAGACCCTCAGGCTTTCTGAACGCGATGCACACCATCATTCTTTCCCCTCCCCTCCGCTCAGCCAGAGATGAGTTCTGCATTTCCACCCTACAGTATGTAGACTACACCGGTATATGGGTTACTGCATTGAGGACACGCAAATATACGAAAGTGTGTCTACAAGTGGGTCAGCTATTTCGAAGGCTGCTTCAACTGGAGGAGGTCATCTGTTTCCTTTTTTTACCCTCGTTCTTTCTCTCTTTTTTTTCTGGAGCACCCTGCTTCTCTCTCCAGCTGAGCTAATTAGTTGAAAGGGAGAGGAAGAGAGGCTTTGGTGCCCTCTGTTGAGTCACAGTGCACCAAGGGGGCCAGACTGGCCTCTTTCGGAAGCACCGGACAACGATCATACACTGTTCTCACGGCCACCGACTTCTCAAATCTTCTCCGTCTCTGTCGGCCAGATGCGCAGCAGGAAGGGGCAGGTTCGTGCTGAGGGGCTCCTGTCAGGACAAAGAGACACGGCTAGATAAACAGGGGCCAACCTGCTCACCTGTCCAAAGAGAATGAGAAATGATGTGTAGTATGGCAGAGTGATGTATAATGCTCAGGTGAAGCACATCTTCCATGAGCCAAGGCTGGGAATCATGTATAAATGGAGCACTGTTGCCCACACATGACACTAAAATCATGACACCAAAATATGAACATTTTAAATAAAATAAAATATACATTTAATTTAAATAACATTTTAAAGTACAAAAAAAAAATACTTAGAAAAAACTATTTTACTCTATTTTCTTAGAGACTTTCACTGTTACTTGTCTTTTTTATTCCCATACTTTTTATTTTAATTCCACACTCTTCCACACTTTAATTCCCACAAATTAGGGGTGGGTGGAAAACATTTGGGGTGGGAGAAAAATTTTTTTTTTTCACATTTTTTTGCATTCTCTCGCAAAACTTATTTGCGTTCCCTCTAAAAAAGATATTTTAGAATTTCCCAAAACCATGCCCTGAACTATTAGCACTGACTGTATTTCTTTATCGTTGAGTCCAAACTCAAAAATAAAACTCTATGAACCACTACATTGTGAACGTATGGCAAGCTGTAAAGTAAACAGGAAGTGTTTGTCCGAACTCAACTGAATTTGTGAGAGAACGTAAATATCTTTGCGAGGTAACGCAAAAGTTTTGCGAGGAAACGCAAATATCTGTGCAAGAGAGTGCAAAAGTTTTGCGAGGGAACGCAAAAAATTATAAAAATAATTTTTCCTCCCACCCCGAATTGTTTTCCACCACCATGTCCCGTTAGTGGCACTGTACTGCTACCCAACACCATTAATGTCAAATTTTCCATATTATATAGATAATATATACATAATATATTACATAATGTGTGTGTGTGTGTGTATACTGTGTATATTTATGTATATATAAATACTAACACATGCATGTGTATATTTAAGAAACATTTTATGTTTATATATTAAATATATTTATATATAATATAAAATATAAGAATATGAATATATAAATGTATAAACATAAATATTTTCAAAATGTATAGCCTACTGTATGTGTGTGTATTTATATATACACATAATAAATATACACAGTACACATACATATATAGTGTAAACAAAAACTTTTATTTTGGTTGTTGTTATTGTTGATTAATCGCGATTAATCGTTTGACAGCACTAATATATGTGTGTGTGTGTGTAAAGTTTTACACAAACATTTTTCCACTGTAGGTTTTAATGCAACACTTTTGTTGTTATTTTTAAGCCGGTGTCGTTGTCACATCTAAACCTGATGAAAGGCCTGTTCTTTTCCCTTCTCTACGAAGCCTGACTGCGCCGTTATGTCTGTTTATTTTGCTTTATTATGCCGGTCTAAGCCTGTTAATATTAAGCTCTGCCCTCCACACTGCCGTTCAGCCATTTAAATGAAAAAGCACTTAAGAGCTCATTTACTCTGGCATTCCTCCCTTCCGTAGCCGAGATATGAAGTTTTATGGATTAGCTTCTGTTTTGTGTTATTTCCCTTCCAGTCATAAATCTTTTTTATAGAAGTGACAGTTCTTATTAAAATGCTTGAATATTTAGCCAAATGGAAACCCCTTCCAGCCAGAATAAGTCATTTTTGATGCTTGCCCAAACAGTTGGATCTATACCAGTGAGGGAGATTGATCAGTGGTCAGGTCCGTATAGCTGGAGGACACCTGTTAATGGAACATACTGGCCGTCTCCCACTGCTCTGTTTTTCAGCTCTCCAGCCAACCCTGCTGAGAGGCTTTTTGCATTTCAAGCCTGTTTCACAAGCACCAAAAATCATTTCAGACATCTCTTTATTTTTTCCAATTCATTTTGGTGCTTATTTATTTATTTAGATTCATTTGCACATGAGGGGGTCGCCCAGTCTCATAGAGTCATGCTGCGGCCCATCTGATCACTCCGTGTGGGGGACCTGTTATGCTAAACTCCCAACTTCATTGCTTTTCTGCTTGCTTTTCTCTCTGCATGGGTCAGAGTGTGAGCACTGAGCCTCTCAGAATGGCACGCCTGCTGAGCGGTAATCGTTTCCCTTCTTTTGTATGTGTACAAGGAGTTCAAAGATATTTTGTTTGCCATTTGTAGTTCTTTTTATTTATTTATTTATTTTTAAATTAGGGCTGTCAATTTTAACATTTTAATTTAGTGTGATTGATTATAGAAAAAAAGTAAGGCGCTAAAACAATTAACACAATTAATCAGGTTGCCTGACTGCTGTGTAAATTAAATTATAAGGAAATTGTCCGATAATTGGAGCAACACTGACTCTTCTGAGCCAGTCTGTTTAATGAACCATTAAAAAATGCTCAATTATTGAAATATAAATACTGAATTATTATAACAAATAAAGAACAACTGAACTGCATAGTTTGGGTCCTGAGCTGTTGTTAATTTGCAAAATAATATTTGAAATTATTGTATATAATTTTATTACTGTAAAAATAATCATGTTAATAATAATAATAATAATTTATAGTATAGTATAATAGTATAGTATAGTGCCTTGGCAACTACCTGAAATAAAATACTAAAATACAGATACTAAAACAACTAAAACCAAATAACAACTATATAGACATATTTTAAAAAAGCAAAAACTAATAAAAATGGTAAACACAACAAAATTACTAAAACTTTAGCGAAAATGAAAATATAAAATCTAATTCAAAATATGAATAAAAAATTTTGTAGTATATCAATGATACTAAAATAACACCCTCATGACTATATCAGCCCTAATCTACATCCCTTTTTTAGACATTGAATGAAGAAACCCTTAATTGTTTTTTTTTTTTTAAAACCATTCTATCTTCCATTTCACGTTTTGATGCAGTGCTCACCTCTGTTCTTATGGTCGTTTTTTGGGTGATTTTTATTTTTCCCTCTTTCCGTCTTTTTTGTGAAGGCCATTTCAATCCATGCTTAGCTGCGTGAAATATCTTCCACTTCCACCCTGCAGCTCTTATCCATAACTCTGCCTGAAGTAGTGCCAGCGGTCAGGAACGGGACGGTGATGGCTGAGGCCACATACAGTGTGATGTAACTCGAGCTGTAGGAACCCTGCAGTCTGGGCCTGCCCTCGTCTCTCTGGGCGGAAACGGCCTGGGTGATTAGACTTCCGAATTGTGCAAGTCATCCCTCATGATGGTTCTACCTTGACCTGTCAACTTTTACCGCCTTATCTGTCTCTGATTTTGTCAGCGTTGTAAAGCATCTTCAGTGTATTTAGTGACCTGGTGAGGAGTTAGATAAACCGATAAA